GTTCGACGGAGCTACTAACTCCTATCGAGTGCGTGTGTGAGGCATCGATCAAACTCGTAGAGTGAGAGCCAACACTATCCACATTCGGCACATATCCGCGCTCGGAATGGGATGCAGCCGGGCTGGCGTCGGAATAATTCAAACTCTGAGGTTCAAACATGCCGACAGCGACAGCTGGGCTACCAGGGGCAGGAGTACTAGACTCGACCGCGCCACTGGGGGCGTCCGACACGCGCACAATGGAGCTGTGAGCTTCATTCGTGTGCGTGCGTGAGGCTTCAATCAAACTCGGAGAGCGAGAGCCTTCACCATCCAATTTCGGCACATTGCTGTGTTCGGAATTGGATGCGGGGTGTGAGTGTGCGCGTTGAACCACCGAGCGCATCTGCATTTCTGCAGGTGTCTCAAGGCGGTGTGCCACATCTGATGACCAGCGGCGAGCTGAATCACGAGAGGGCACAGACCTGGAGCGCGGCGCGCGACCAAGGCCTTCAGTGTGCGATCGTGCAACATCATCTTCCTGAGAGTCTACGTCTGCTAACGTGCGTTCGAACTGCGATCGCGATCGTGGCTGCTGCTGCTGCTGCTGAAAAGTCCGACCGCGAACATGCAAGAAGGCATTCGGCGAATCCTTATCAACACGGAGCGAGCTACGCGAAGCATGCGAATCATCATCGTCAGGAGTGTTGTGCGGCGACAAAGGGAACGGGGTCGAAGCAGCAGAGTCGCTGCTACCTCGCGGCTCATCAGGAGCCGACATGCTGAAGCAGGGCCAAGGCTGTTGCCCTGCCGCTATTCAGCAGACGACTGCAAAAAAGCGAAAAAATCAAAATCAATTGAACGCAAGAATCAAGCAACACGACCAAAACCAACAACGCCAGTGTAATGGTATTTGACCCCTTCCTTCAGAATCAATCACCTTTGAGCTGTGTGGAACTCTCTTGTCCGACCACAGTAGCAGGTTGTTGTTGCTTTCCGTTGTTCTCTTTCTCTTGATTAACGCTTTCCAAGCCAACTCACAATATCCCACGCACACACGATCATAGATCGCCTGTACGCACACACTGAACAGAAGGGCACATGTCTCGGCATAAAGCCCTGATCTAGCATGACGTCACGTCTCATCATCCGACGGCGCCAAATAACCATGATCAACCACGATCACTTGTCTACCTCCAAATACCATAACACCACCCTGGTGGTTCTCATACGCAGATGCTTGAAACCTAGGGACTTGACAACTATGAAAGGAGTGAGGATGTGGAGCTCCAATATACCAAACTCTCCCACACCTCTCACACGATGAGTCGCAAGACCATCGTTTGACCCAACCAAAAAGAACGATAGAGAAGGAAAAGACGGGGGCTAGGAATGAAACAGGGGGACAATAGACACGACAAAAGAAAAAAGTCAACGCTACAAATACCATAACAAGTCGGAACCCAAAGAAAGGAAGAAAGCGTTGGGAAAACAACGTCGGAACGGCGAAAACCAACCGTATCGACAAAACGATACAAAACACGAAGCAGTCGGTGTCATCCAAATCACTAAACGCGACGAAAACACTCACCGCTAGCCCGTATAAGCTAACCACAAAGAAAACCTAATGATGCCATAGCACTACGACGTACCCAAAAAGGTAAGAAACCAATCGTTTCGACAACGAAAACCAGGGGGCCATGACCCAACATAAGGTCCGACGAAATCAAACCGCCGCAGGGAGCCGAACAAAAACGCTCAACCACGCGAACGGCGAAAGAAGCGAAAGAAGCAGAAATGCAGAAGGACTCGAAGGACAAGACGACGTACCAGACAGAAACAAACCGATCGCCAGAAAGACGGGAAAAAAGGGATCGAATTACCAAAACGAAGCCTAACACTGCGCTATCCAGAGGCAGCAACAGCCTACACGTACTTTCAAATGAGAGGACCGGACGAGATCAGGGGCGACCTCAAGTCCGCAGCCCATCTGGGGATAGAACACACACATCACACAGACAGATCCCAAGACACACACGCTTGCTAATCGGCGCGTGCCGAATCATTTGGCGGCGAATAGTCCGCTCCACGTTTCGCGACATGTTATCATTGCGAAGTCCTTTCATGAGATTGCTACCGCCGTGAACTTGAAGGCACCATGAACCGCAGACGGCAGATCCGAGGGTAGAGAAACGAACAACGGAGAGGGCGATCTTGACCGGTCCGGGGTCGTCGAGGAAGCGGACGATGTAGTGGTCGGCCCGCGCTGTCGGTCCAGAAATCTTGCCCAGCCACCAGAGTCCATCTTGAGCCTTGTACCAGAAGAACACACCCACAGGTAAAGGAGTATCGGCGAAACGACGGTCCCAGGTTGAGCGGGAGAAAAAGGAGTAACCCGGAGGCAAATGTCTCTCACCCTTAGCACGTGCCAATTCGCGTGCGGCTGCGCCAAGACGCATTGGACGGCAATGGCCATTCGTCTGACGGTGTTGATCGGGTGTACCCGTTCAATACCGGAGAATCTGCGATCGAGAGTGCTGATGGTCCATCTCACGCTCCCAAGAAGGGCGGAGAAGACCCTTCCAATGTGTCTGATACAGAACAGCGATAACACCACCGCGACCGCGAACAGACTGGTGACCCAGAAATTTGTTCCACCTCGAGACGTTCGACCGAAGTCGAGACGTCATTTTCCGTAACATGATACGGAGGAGATTTGGTCGTATAGTTGTTTAAAACATTCTGCGTAAGACCAGCCGGCAGAAACCGTGGCAGGTCCTCAGCGTCATGCGGATTGGCGCATGGCTTGCAGCGTGCGACCGAAACACGTCGTTTCGAGCCTTTGCCCGGCAGGTCCGACGGAAGATCCAAGTATAACAACTTGGCCTCGAGAGGACTGCCATCAGGGGCTTTCGAACAGGGGCCTACAGCCAACACTTTAAACGGACCGGTCCAAAGCAACGATAAGTTCGCTTTGAGAACCTTGTCGTCGGTGCCTGATCGAACACCGGAGCGAATGGTAGATTCGGTATTTAGATCCAAACCCAATCGCCGACGGCGTAAGTCGGAAGCTTGTCCAAAGCATCCGAGAGAACGGAATTGCGACGCTCGATCCGAGAAATGGATAACTTGTGCTGCTCGGGTACTAGCTCGTATGCACGGCGTTGGCGATCAGCAGCGAGGTCGCACTATTGGAGATGGTCGCGATCCACACTTTGATGACCACGAGCATAAGGATGCTCGATGACTGTCATCGGAAGGCGAGGCAAACGGTTGATGTGCACCTCATTAGGTGCTAAACCGGTGGCCGCGCTAGCAGAGTTATTCTACGCAAACTCTACATGAGGGAGATGGACATCCCAATCATCTTGCCTTTCGTTAACGACCATGGCAAGCCTTTGTGCCATAGTATGGTTAACTCGTTCGACACCACCATTTCCATTAGGATGGTGCGAACTGGTGGCCACTTTGCGAACTGCGAGACGTTGGTAAACGGCTTGTGACAGTTTCGAGCAAAATTGTGTGCCATTCTCTGATAAAAGACTCAAGGGGCAACCCCACAGAGGGATATACTGATTCACTAAAATATCTGCAGTACCTTCAGCGGGAAACTCAGCAGCCGTAACGGCGTACATGCAAGTTTTACCCCTAGGGCGGGGGGGGGGGGTACCTAGGTGTGCGGGACAACTTTTCCTGCACACCCTTGGTGGCGGGACTTTTTGTTCACCTCTTTTTTCAGCACACAAAATCAACCAAAATCGGCGATATTTCGGAACAGAATTATTGTTCCGCATCGGACCCCAAAGATTTTCGCAGCAGTCGTAGTCCCGGTTTAGTGGCGATCCCATAGTGTCACATACAACTAAGAAATTTTGCGATTGAAATTTTGGAACCGCCATTCAAGGCGTAGGCGCTAAACCTTTTGTCGATTACAGAATCGCTAAACCGGGAGCCTCAACAGCGGCAATGGGCCGCTAAACCGGGAAAGATCCCATTGTTGTGCAACAAGAGCAGCATCGAGAGTCGACTCGATAGGGCCTCTTGCATGTACGAGTCTCATTGCAGTAGTCACACAAAGGGTCTCAGGTGTATGGAGACCCGTCTCGAGGACGAGCTCGTTGCGGCGATCTCTTCCTATTCCTCCAGCGGCTCGCTTACGGCTAAAAGCCCCTGCGACGGCTGCAGGTGGGGAAGGGCTACCCGGGGTCGTGCCAAGGTGCGTCAACCCCTCGCACGACCCCAAGTGTCATCCACGCGGTCTGCATCTGCCTCCGCCTTTGTCTAAGAGTTTTCAGTGCTGCAGCCGTGAGCTCCACTACCCCAACCCGCTTGGCACCGCTGTGCCACGAATGCCGGGTCTCCGCATATATACTTCGGATCGAAAACCGTTATTGGTCGCTGAAGACAACAACTCGCGCCCGGTTTAACGGTCGTTCAACCGCTAAACTAGGGTGCAACTGTGCCACGAGATTCTGGAACGTCTACTCAGGGCCTTCTGCTAAAGTATAATGGCGAACCGCTAAACCAGGACCACCACCGTAGTCTAGGAGTCGAAGATCTCAACCTTTAGTCCATCGTCGAATACGCTGCAGAACGCGCGACATCCAACCGTTGAGCTCGTACGCACTGTCTTCTTGTCCCGCCGATGCCGTCAACCCGCCTATGTAGGCTATAGCCACAAAGGCAACGCCTTCAGATATTCCCGCCCTTTGGTAATACTTGTGAAACACTGGCGGTCTTTGTCCACATTAAGAACGAGATCTAACGAAAAACACCAATAAATTGACAACAAACAAATATTTCGCGGTTGTGCCCTATTGTCGAACGATACCCTCTGGAGTTTTTCTGCAATGGCGTACTTTCAGGCCAGGAGTGAACGTGGAAGGATCATCGTTAACGCTACAGCGTAAAACCAAACTGTGATGCCAACCACCAAAACAATCTTGGGGTCAGGACAATATACTCGAGTGTTCGAAATCAGGCATAAATTCGGCCCTACTACCAGTACCGTACTGCATCTATTACGCTTTTTTGCCCTTCCCCTTCTTGATGACCCCCCCTCTGATGTTGCAGCGGCGCACTTTCAGTGCAGCCGCAAACTCTGGGGTCATCTTGCACGTTTGCTTCTTGTCCGACCTCACATCCAGCTCTTTGAGGTTCTCGCATTTGGCGAGCTCCGACGGCAATGACTTGAGTGCCTTGCATCTGGGATATATTGCAAAACCAATGGAGGAGCACGACAGCAATAGCCCTTTTGGTTGTTTCCCGCTGTCTCGACCAACCCTGAGCGGTTTTGTCCATCTGGGAGACGGGAAAAATGTGCCTGAACAGCAATGAAGCACTCAGACACTTACGGGATAGAAGTTGGTGTTGTACTTCGGCATCTCGGGCGCCACGGACTCGCATGCCTATGCTGCACGGGCTATGTACGGAGAGAGGTAAACCATTCTCGACGATAAGAGAGAAGATAACACAAGAACAGACAACAATGAAGAGAGTTTGCACGATGACAGTTTTGCTGCCACTAACACACCACCCCCCCCGCATATCATCTATCTTGTGCTTTCTCTCACCGTCGTGCCGACAACTCCCTCAGCATCTTCAAACCGCTTATCGACGTCGGCACTGACGAGAACTGCGGCAATCACGACACCGTCAGAAAGTCGGCGAGCCGGGGCAGAGGGAAAGCGCGTGACGGAGAGAAAGAATGCGGAGAGAGGCGACTTCATTTCAGACATCGCCAAAAGATGTTTGAGACCCCTCGAAACAACTAGGATGTGCACCTGAACACGATCCAACATATCGATGACTGTTGGGTCGCGTAGTCAGAATAGGAGGAGATGAGTTCGATATCTAACATAACACGTTTTCTCAAACGTCAAAAACCTGAGTTTTGTGTCCTTCTCCCCAAAGAGGGATACATGCGACGGACGCAGCTCACTCCCGCTCTGCGACCCATTGCGATGGGATTACGTTCTTGTTTCGAACAACTTCGCCTTCAATAGACGGTTTCAATGGACGTCCCGAGTAAGAATCCCGAACACCGCGGTTACCCGAGGCACCCAAGTTTTTGGTACTTGTAGGGGTTGCCCAAGTCTCCTGGCAGGCAGACAGTTTCTACCCAAGCCACAAAAATTTCGGGTAGACACCGCACATTGGCGTTCGGCTACACCCTACCAGGCACGTCCTCACACGTTCGGGAGTTAGGTGTGAAGCTTCCGCAAGGGGTGCTTCGGCAAGGATACTGATATTTCCTGAGTTTTTTTTTGTCGTGTGGTTATGTTCACCTTCTGGTTGTTGTTGATGTACAGCTCCGCCAGCCCACTGCATGCACCGATCTCCGCCGGGATCGCCTGCGTGTACAATGTGGGACGAGGTTCGTAGCGGCTACACGAGGGTTTGCGTCCTTGTCAACTCTTGCGGCCATCGTGCGCTGCACATCAGTAGTGCTCGAAACATTACTTTCGTGGTCGGCAAAGTGCCTCATCAATCGGTAGGCAAGTGGATTTCCTTACGGGTCGAAACCTGTTGCGGCAGCCCCAGAGTCTACGCGACGGGAACGTGCGCCAAAACACGAGACTACCCTGCAATGATCCGGTTCTCAATGGGGCAGCGTGATCCCCGGAACATGGATGTATAGTCATTTTAAAGTGACCAATGTCGTGCGACAGGTCTCCGTTTGACGCCACATGTATTTCTCCGGCTCCCAAGCAATGCCGCGCCTCAGGCAATACTGTATCGGCTTCTCTTTAGTAGCATTCACTCGCCTTAATATTGTTGCCGCTCAAGGATAGTTTCACCAACCTCGCCATGCACCCCACCTTTTTCGCATGTGAAGCACGCAGCGGCAAGCAGTGAAAGAACGCTAAAAGTTCGGTGGTCAAGGTTGCGAAGAACGTATTTCATTAAAATGCCCACTTCGGTATCATGCCCACTACTGAACACCAAAACATATCTATCGCACAACAACATCGACGACAACACCAAGATTTAGAAGAACTCAGAATCGGAGTTTGCACACAGCGATGCAACAAAGGCAAGACTACCTCCGGCGGTAAGGAGGTGATCTTGTTCCGATAGAGGTAGAGCTCTTGCAGGTTCACGAAGGCCTCGCACATCTCCGGCCCAAACTCCGAGATTTTGTTGCCTCCGACGTGGAGCAGCGCCAGGGACGTGCAGCGAGCCAGCTCGGGGGGAAGCTCGGAGAGCGTATTTCCTCTAAGGTCTAGGACCTCCAGCTCCGAACACTCGCCCACCTGTATAGATAATGCATACTCCACGTTTTCAGGTTGGGGTTAATTTGCTGTTTCGCTGTAGGTCGCCAAAATGCAAATAAATTCGGTCGGACCACATCAAATTTCTGATGCTAGGGGTGAGCGTCCCGACATGAAACATATGGATGGTTGTCTTTCTGAGCTCGGTGTGGTTCTGATATTTCTTGGTTTAACCCACGCTTCCTGGGATCTCCGCAATCTCCCGTTCCGATGAGAATGAACGAGCGTATCTTGCTCGATACGCTCAACATGGCCTGTAGTGTCTTGGCCGGCGGGAAAGCTGCTACGGCAGCTGCTTCTGGGCTTTCATGTCGTGCTTGAGTCGTAGAAATCAAAGACAACGGCTATTGCCGCCAACGGACCGATACCGAAACCTTTCGGCTGATAGCAACAGTATTAAATAACGTAGCATTCGGTCAACGAGTTCACACCAAAAGTGGGCTGTCAAACCCTCCCAGCTATGGAGAAAACCACGGTTCATAGCTGTAGCAGCTCACGCGGAGAGCAGCCGCGTGACAGAGCCTCGGATTTCGTAGGCGGGGGAGACCAGTGATCACAAAATGCTGGGCAAGGGTTGGGCCAACAGCGGGTGGCCTTTCCCCACGCACCCACTCCGTTCTATCAACTGTGGAGTGGTATGGCTGGTTTCAGATTACTTTTTCATTTTTCAGATGCGTTGGCCTTGTTGTCCTTTTCGATTATCAGCATGGGGACCGCGATGGTGTATAGTCTATTTCTCGTTCTTCTGGGTCAAGTTCGGGTGTACTTTCTGGGCAAGGTCGCAACAACAATGGTACCATTATATAACGAAAGCACGAACGACAACGACAACAATGTACCTCTGCTGGGACCTCAAGGATGCCGTTTCCACCGGCAAGCAACCGCCTCAGCTTGGCCCACCTCCCCATCTCAAGGGGCAGCATTCTCAGGTCGTTGTTGCGCACGTTAAGGTCCTCCAAGTTTCTCCAGTCTCCGACCTGACGTGATATGTTCGGCGTAATTTTCGAGGATCGGCTTTCTCACGTAGCCGAGAGCTTGATCTCATATCTGTGTTGTTGTTATTGTTTCACTTTTCTCCTAACGTCTCAGTTTTTGGATTGCACAGGAGACTACTAACACGCACTTACCGGTAGAGGAATGGGCGTTGGGCTGCTATGGGCCTACACTCCAAAACGACCGCGGCGGAATCAAGCCTACTACGTCTACCATTTGTCGGTCGAAACAGCTATGCTTTCATGAGCGTTTGAACTAGACGTGGTCGGACAATCCTCGGCGGCCGGTCAAGGCTAACGCCCACTCGCCTGTGGCGGAAGAACTGTCAAAGCGTTGTGCGATATGCTGAAAACGCGCAGCTCCGTCCACATGTCAACCGCAGCCGGAAGCTCCGTGATCTGGGTCAAGAGAGGATAAATACTTCAGTACACGGAACGCACGTTCGTTTCGAGGAAAAATAAGACCCCCGCTGGGAAAATGACCGTAGGCTGCCACGGTGTTGTCTCATGCGAGGCGAGAACTGGAACCAGGAGTCTCATTTTCGCGTGCAATGACACTCTTGCTGTCAAAACCTCTTCTGCTAGGAATTGGCCGACCCGTTGTCTGGGAGTATGACCTAACCCAAACCCTAACCCTACCCCTAACCCTAATAAGCCTGCAACTCCTGGTCTTGCAGTCAGATCCCCAGGGTATTGACGGCAAAGGGGAGGGCGTGGAAAAAGAAGAAAGCGTGCACACATGTCAGTATGTGTATGCATTATTGTGTGAAATATCTTCCCGGACCTGATTGACGTCGAGACGTAGCTCCTCTAGCTCGCGAAGCCTTCCCGCCGCCGCCGATAAGACCCCGTTGAAGAAGTTGTCTGTCAAGTCCAGCTTCCTGAAATAGCGAAGAAATGGCGCCCGCGAGCAAGGAGCGTGCAGTTTGAAATAGGCTCAGCGTCGCTGTTGAAACAGAGTTAGTTCAAAGTTTCGGGCGTATATAACTGCCATGTGGTTATTTTTCCCTTTCTGGAGCTAGCCATACAATCCAGAGACTTCGTAGTCTTGACTGTCGACCAGCCAATCTCCATACACAAGGTTTACTAGGACAAGGTTGCCTGTAGCTGCTGAAGACCGCTTGGTGGCGGTCGACTTTGAAGAGCGGAGGACGAGGGTGCTCGAGAGAGGCCAATATGGCGTTGTTGTGAAGACAAGATAAACGACGACCACAACAGCAGCAGAACCAATAATGGCAGTGGCACCACCAATGACAATCCGGTCGTAACAATACCACAAACGAGCAGAGCACATACTCTAACCCACACGAGAACCGTGCTTTCTTCTCTTCTCACTTGAGGTTCTTTAGACCCAGCAGTATGCCGAAGACGTGATCGCTGTTGAACAGCTGATTCCGGCTGAGGTTGAGATTTGTGAGGCAGGCCATCTCTGGCCTTTCTCGAATCTCGTCTGGCAGGAAGCCCAGCCTTCCCCCCGAAGCATCCAACGTCTCAAGGCCATACTTTACCACCTGGGTTGGCAGTCCAAATATAATGTTTGCAACAGCGGTTGCTGCTTTTTCGTACGGCAGGTTATCCGTCAGAGGCCCTCGGTCAAAGGCGAAGACTGCCTCCCGAAACGGCGCCTTCTGGCTAACAGTTGCTGGTGCAGTGTAAGATATATTCGACGACTTCTTGGCACCGAAGGAGGTTTTGTTCTTGCCAAAGGTAAGACCTGTAGCCGGCGCGCCTAGTCTTGCTTGATGCAACGTTATAGACGATAGACATGCACCTGCATCGTCCCTATGGACCAGATCAAGATATATTTACCTCGCGTTTAGAAACCATTCCTGGGCTATTCGCTAGCTATTGGTTCGGGCCGGCAATGAGGCTGCTGGGGGCTTTGCAGCAGGCAATGCCAGGTGGCAGGAGGCCGTCGGGAAGGGGATGCTAGACAGGATAAATAGCACCACGGTGGTTGGAGACGTACTATCTCGCCAACAAGGCACGGGAAGGATCTTTACACCGCACGACGTTCCACGTCAATACTTGCCACATTAAAATTGCGGTCGCCAGTCAACGGGGGGGGGCGTGTGTTCACCCCGCAGGCTAATTTACGTCTTCAAAGTACGGAGGCCAGGTCAGCTCGGATGGTCAGAAGCGCATCAAGTTTATGTCTTGTATCAAAAAAAGGTAAGAATGTTCATCGCCACCAGCAACCTCACCTTTCTCAACCGACTAAAAACAACGTCCGCCCGCACGTCCAGCACGGCTTCCGAGCGCGCGTAGGCGTCGCCAAGACGAGGGCACATGCATCTCAGCCGCTCAGCCTCGATGAACCGCGTCGTCACCACAACTCGCTCGGGGGCCGACTTCTTCCCCTTCTTTTTCCCTCCCTAGTGATGTTACCGAAACCACCAGTAGAACCACAGGGAGAGAGGTATCAATTTTCCCCAATCTTTCTCAACTCTTATCTATGGGTAGAGATGGGTTTGTTATAGCTCCTGTATGAAAGTATACAATTTCTTGTTGGGATAAATGAACTATAGTGACCTTCGTAAACATCATACTGCGGTTCGAACTTTTCCTCAACAGAGCTTGCGTTGTAGACCTTGTCTTGATAGAAATACGTGTGAAAAACATGTGTACGTGAGTGCTACCAGTAGCATTCCAACGTATGTCTACCTTCTTCTTCATCGCCTCGAAACCTGCGTCGCCCTACGGCAAGGTGGCAGCCGCAGCAAGGCTGTATCTTGTAACCGAGGAGCACAACCTCGTCTGAAGCGTGCTAATCAAGAGCATTCCCACCGGGCAGGTCCACACCCACCACCAGATGCCACGTGCCCCCTCGGTGAGTCCTGCTGTACAACCTGCACTTGTCTTTCGGTGATCTTGAGCATCTCCACAAGTACTGATGCTCTGCCTGTGCGACACCCTGCCGGTATACGACGAGGCAAATGAATCAAAGCTTCCTCGCCGAGCTGGTAGTGGATCTCGCTGCGGATACCACAAGCGGTGGGGTCGTCAATGCTACCGTTTGGCGTGCAGGGAGAGGCCACAAACGTTGTTATCCTACGGAAGACGTCAGGCGCACGTGGCACAATACTCCCACAGACTTGTACATACACGTCAGCAGTGACGACTCGTATGGACATAATAAATAGGGCCGCATGTGCGACGGTTTCGCCAATATTTTCGATTTCGAGCGCGCCTCCCTACCCCCACCATCACAACACACCCGAACAACACATAATCGCACCTGCTACATCGTCCGAGAAGTACTTAGCAGACCTACATGGAGAACATTCGGTCTTCGATGGTCTTTGAAGTTAGACTATTTTCACCTTTGAGGGATGCCACGCACACACAACTACGTGCATGCGCATTGTAGAAACATGTAGTCTATCTATTGGGAGATGATTGATAACATCAAACCACTCCACTCGAGACAGCCCGTAAAGGAATGTATATCGAAGTCCTACAGCAGTAATACAAACTCATTGTCACCTGTCCGAGAACAAACTCTGGCTCACAGAAATTTTGTTCCAGTGATGCTGCCGGCACACATGCCAAAGACCAGAGACACCGACAGACCTCGAAAGGAGAGAAGAAACCCTCCGACATGGGCCAACCTCGTGTCCAAGCACTAACTGCTGAATAATACTGCAATGCTGCGGTTGCTGAAAGAAACATTCGGTTCGTGTTTAATGCGACATTTGTCGTCGCGCTGCGTCGCGTCATGAGCGTCCTGTGAGAGACCTCCGGAAAAAAAGAGTCGCATAATATGATAATATGTTGTTTCGAGTGCGTAGCGATGAGGAAAACAGTGCCATCGACGCGAATATTTTTTTTGTGGGGTCTTCGTGCGAACGCTTCGCGTCATCTCGTGGCAAGCGCTCTGTGAATTCGGCCCGCCGCTCGGCGCCGCCTCGCCGCGTGCTTGCAAAGGAAATGCGGCGTAATTACCAGTGAGCGAGTGAGCGAACCGCGAACGGGAACATTGTACGAGTAAACCCTCCGCACGTCCCCACACGGGCATCAGCGTGGGCCCGCCGCCCTCCCGCTGTTCACACGTCCGCGCACATGAGAGGGCCGCTGCTCTATTTAGAGAAGAGTCTTCAGCAGGAGCGATGCTTGCTCAGAGGCCATCAGCGACGCCACCCGTTCCTGATGACGCTGTTGGTGTTGACACCTCGGGTGGCGTGCGCTTCGTCGCCGTTCCTGGCAGCGGTCTTGAAGAGACCTTTCCCCGGCCCAGCGTCAAAACTGTGGGTGGCACAGCATTGCCTGCCTCTGCGAGCCCAAGCACTCTGTCACCTCCTCTGGTCAGCAATTTTGGTGGAGTGGAAGATGGGGGTGTTGCAAGGGCGACGAGTGCAGCTGCTTCCACACAAGCCCCAGAGCTGAAGATGTCCGACTGGGTCAACGCAAGGAGAAGGTGGGTGCAACACTGTACATACATCTTTCCCGTATTTAGACTACTGGGTATGATCCCCGTGTAGCGTGTTGTCTACCCTGGTGCACCACAACGTCCCACAACGTAGAGCAAGTAAGCAACGAGGGATGCTAACTTGTACAGCAGTAGCTTCTCGAGGGAACAATACGGCTTGAACGATACTTACCGGTGAATCCTTCTCCGAATGCAGCACGAGCTGTGTGATCGTCAAACCTTTGCGCAAAGATGCGTGCTTGCGCAAAGAGCAGCAAACAGTGGCACACGGCGCCTTACGAATGAAACACTGCTATGAACGTTCACCGTAGGCGCGCGAGGACGGCGTCGTCCAACACGATCGGGCGCAGCCACAGCACCAGCTTCAGCCGCGGCAAGACTCCGGCCGCCGCCTCGTCTTCCGCGTCCGCTTCAACAACAGCAGTGGCGCTACCACCGCCAGCGTGGGAGCCCGAAGTATTCCTGAACACGGGAGAAAACGCGGCCGCAGAAGCCGAGGCAGCTCAAACGTGGAGCAAGGAGGATGAGATGGCCCTGCGCGGGAGAATCCGAGACACGATTTCGAAGATTGAAGATTTGTCGGGAGGGTTGCAAGGTTCCGGCGGACAAGAGCGAGAGGGGGATGGCGGGGGAGGAGGAGGAGCGGAGGCTCAAGGGAGAGGAAACGGACCGGGACCAATCCTTGCTGGAGGGGGCAGGAAGAAAAGGAACAACCACAGAGGTGGTGCGGTGAACCAAGCGGGGGGGGGCGAGGGCAGCATAAAAAATCTACACGAGTCTTTGCACCTCTCGATGGAGCTTGTTGCCACTGGCGAGAAGCACGCCTCTGCGAATACCACAACCATTGCAGACATGTCCGAGTGGCTGTCTCACCTGGAGCAGAAGCAGCTCGTGAGTTCACTAGGCAGCCCGAAACTCAAAGCTTCAAGAGTGTGCATTGGTGTTTCCAGCTACAATGTACACTAGTTGGACACAGACACGAATACACAGACACCATTCAAGTCTTTAGGAGCATGCGTGGTACAAGCATCTGGTACAGTGCTCGAAAGGTTCTCGAGGGCGCTCTGCTTAGCAATACCAGTCGAAGCTTGTATTGACCGCATGTATCGCTTAGGTGCCGTCAAACTTCGTAGTCACTGCAGCCCTTGCCCATCAACATCCCTCCCCTGGACATACTCAAGGCTGTAGCTGACACGATTCATGTGCCATATATTGATGTTGCCGTCGCTGACTCGTGAGCAGACTACACTAGTACGTATGACTCTTTCATTTCGTACCCATTTTTCCAGAAAACGCTCACGTGGGCAGCATTCATTTCCATTTTGATTGAGAGAGAGAGAGGAGTATCACATTCCGCTCTCTTCATACCACAAAGCTGCTGCAGTCGCTGCTGAACGTGTCTTGCTTGTGGACGTGCGCCCGGGTCGGTCGACAGATAAACATCAGCCAGGAAGAGGCGATGGAAGGAACCACCATGGCAGGCGTCATCCTCGACGAAGGTCTAGCGGTTGGAGATTGTATCCGTGACTACAGGTGAGCAATCCCATGCCATCAAATGTGTCTGTTTCTTCTCCCCTTCGAACAAAGATAACCCACACGACGAAACGAGATGCAATGGGGAGATCCCGTCAGAGTTCAGGTCGGTCTGGGCCAAACGAGCTGGTTCAAAGGCACCTCACAAACCTGGAGATTTCCGTGAAACAACATCCCATACATAACACGCAGTGACCAGACATCGTCAGCGTTCAAGCGACTGGCGTCCATCTTCAAGACCGCTTGCGCTGAGACCGAGCGCGCAACCAAAGAGCTGGTCGCGAGGCTTACCGAAGATCCTACAGCAGAAGAGGGGGCGGGGCCAAAGGAAGGCGGGGGAGGCGGGACGTGGGTGGGTGCAGGAAAGGAGGCCGGATCAACTGCGGGGAACGTGCCGTCCGCGGAGTCGGTGATCAAGGCCAAGAAAGTAGAGCGCATCAAAATCATGCAGGTCGGATGCCGCGATACTTGGGACGTGGGTGCCAACTGACCTTGCTGTAGCTTCGAGGTGCCTGCGTTACACGGGGTTATCGAGTCGCATACATTTGTTTTGGTCCGCGAGTCCGATTGATACGTTTTTGTTCAGGGTCGTCGTGGCGTCGAGCACGTAATCGATGAACGCTGTTGTTGGACAGGGCCGTTTCGTGCAGCCATGAGATGTTGCTAGGAACGCCAGTGTTCTGAAGAGAATTAGTCGAATGTATTCCTCCTGTACCCTAGGAAACGAATAGCTGATACATAACTCCAAACATTTTCGCTATCCGCACGCGATGGCATCCCGAGATCTGGTCGCTGCGAATTCGTGCCGCAAGGAAGGACAATATTCTTCACGCCATGCGTGGCATTACGTGTATGGAGACATGTGTTTGAACGCTACGCACATTGTGGACCTTGCAACTCAACAATTCAGGAGAAACAACTGCAGGAGGCCGCCAAGACTAACGAAGAAGCCCAAGAGGTGATCAACCAGCTTAAGGTCTCTCTCCGGCAGCTGGAGCAACGCTTCAAACAGGCAAGAACGCATCGAAGAGAGCAGACAAAACCTACCTCGCATGTTCCCCGAGCATACCACGAGTCCACCCGATACGTTGTCGTCTTCGCTCGTCAGCTTACGTGCTGTCGATCAAAGCTCCCATTCACAGATCAAAGGTGGTGGGTCAATAATGTAGATGATCAACGTGGATGGGTCGCTTGGCGGTATGAGCCCCTTGTCGAAAATATTTTGAAACCATTTTCGCAAGGAGGGCGAGGATATGGTGGACAGTAAGACGATTGAGCAACGGAAAATGGGTCTGGAAGCAACGCCCGGGGCTTTGTCCGCATCCAGAAATAGCGCTTGCCGCAGGGGGTGTTGATGTCAGAATGATCAGACGTGGTATTCACATGGGCCCTAAGAAGGGTCTACATATGGTATAGCCCCAGCATGCTACGACGTGTAGACAGTCAACGCAGGGAGCTTCACGTTTCTCGCTCTTTCCACTTTGAGAACCTGCGGCTACGGAAATAAGCAAACGCGGTGCTATCAGGGTCAGCAATCCCGTGCATTGTGGAATGAGGGGAGAATAGAAACAGCGATGGTTGCGAGCTCCCACAGCAGAGAGACAAACACCATATTGCGCCGTATGTGTGTGCCTGTCCGATGCTCTTTCTCGGCGCGTGCTCGCTTGCAGACTGAATCGATGAACACGATCGTCACGACGAATCGGCGCAAGGACAACATGAAGTGGAACGCCCTCGTGTTGGAGTACGAGATGAAGATTAACTACCTGGAGCGCGCTTTAGCGCAGGAGGAGAGCAAGCTAAGGATCGCGGAGCAGGTGCACCGTCTTCCGGGCCTTGCCACGACTCTTCCTTTGAATAGGTCGTGTAGATGAGGGATTTGGACTTGTTCTACGCATGCCTCGTTTGTTACTGAAGGGCTCTCACCAGGGAATACTTCTTTTCTGTCATATCGAACCAAGCTGGGTGTCAAGCGTGTCACGCTCAGGATTGCCCCCCCGCCCCCCCCCTGGTCAGTGGTCTAACCTCTAAGGCATGAAAACGTGAGAACCCCCGCCCCGCCTTCTGCCTTCTCCGAAGGTGCACAGAGAGGAAGGCCTGGAGCTTCACTTGGAACTAGTTTCCAAGCAGAGGGGGAGTACGCGCGCGGGGACAAAGACCGCGGCCATGCAGGAGGAGATGGCGGCCCTCTGCTCCAAGCTGAGCGCGACAAACGCTCGCCTTGTCATCGCGGAGAATGCCAAGGCGAAGCTAGAGCAAGAGATAGCCTCTGAAAAGTGAGAGATCGGCGATACCGGAAGAGTTTTGGTCTTTCGGTTCGGTCGGATTTCCACGCCGAGGAGTCCTGGTAGTAGTGTCTTCGGAAGAGGTTTCTGGGCATGATGCACGCCTCATTTTTTTTATGTACTTCTGCAACACGATCGGCCTTGAGAAAGAGCTCTCGTGGCTGCGCTTGGACTTCATCGACCTTGAACACTAGACCATAGGCGTGGACGACGTAGCTGTGCTAAAAACAATTTACTAAGAACCACCTTGCCAAAACGGAGAAGGGAGGCGAGTTGCGGCCTCGACAAGGCGACGAAGGCTTCCGGCGGTCTGCACCTTCTTCGAAGGGTCGTTCACCCTGAGTTTGTGGTCAGTGCCTACCGTATCGCTTGACAGACAAGTGAAGGACACTGCACAGCCGAATAAGTCCGCCCACACCTCGCATACAGAAATGGACAAGCCGCTCCGTTCTTCCTATCGACGATGGGGTTGGTCCAATGAAGCCCAGGTCGTGGACCTTTCACGAGTGGTCAGTACGAAAATATCCAGTGGATCCAGTTCCAAGGACAGCGTTCTACACTCGGCCGAGGACTGTCGTCCTTGGACCACCACGTTTTGTGATACACATCTCCACCTCGAAGACAGTCGTCTACCCAAACGACTCCTCTCCCCACGACAGCGCCATCGTGTTGACTCGCATGTTTCCTTTTTCGACCAAGTGGTCCGCTGCGTATGTGTCGTTCATGGACCATGGCACGCTCGCGCGTTCCGAAATGTTTGCCGGTCACATCTGAATCCTTGGATTATTGCTTTTCACCTGACCGTAGGGAGAAATACCGCAAGTTAAAGGAGCAGCGCGCCGTCCAGGGGAAGGAGACACTCGAAGAGCACGAGGAGGAGATAAAATCTCATTCAAAGCTTTACGACAAGAAAATCAGGGAGATCGAAATGTGAGAAGCCACCCCCAAACCTTCACCTCCAGGTGAAGTGCCGAAACGAAATGCCCCAAGCTTGCTGTCGAGGACAGGAACGGAAACAGGGAAGAACCGGTAACTCCGTTCAGGGAACAGGGCGGGGTTCCCGGGATCAATATGTGCGGGTTCGGGAAGCGAATTGCATTCAGCGTCGGTTTACTTCCTTGTCGACCCGTTTCTTCGTCCCCCTATTTACCTGATGCCGAGAAAGTTGGAGAGGCGGAAAGGGCTTAGTCTATCCTGGTGGGCCCAGCAGTAGAGTGGGGTAGTGATGGATGTGGCTGCTGCACCTCGGTATACTGGTGCTCTCACTCTACTTGGTTCTACGCTCATCATTTCCTTACATTTGGTACATATATATCGGCAATTTTTGCACACTTTTCACGTTTCTCCGTGGGGTACGAAGTTGAAAATGGTCACGTATTCTCCCGAAAGCAACTACGAATGACCCCTCACCCCGCAATGAGGGCGAGCGGGACACGGATGGAAACAGTAACCAAACGCCACACGCAATATTCGGAGTACAAGAGATATTCACATCCGGCTCTTTCCCATGATTCAAGGGAGCACGAAAAGCAGCTCGTCGTATGGAGGAAGCAGCTGGACGACCTGCGAGAGTCCAAAGAAGAGGAAGCGGGGAAGAGCGCGTTCGTGATAAGCAGACTCAAGGCCGATTTGGAAATCGCACATCAGAAGGCAAGCGTCGCAGACAGAACCTGTCGTTTGATCTTCACGTTGAACTCATTCCCCACTTTAATATTGCATTCCCATGTTCTCAGTACCACCGTCGTCATTGTTGTCACAGTGGTACCTCTTATGCGATCCGCGTCTTGTGTTGATGGTATTAATAGTACTGTCACAGTATCTACTACCTGCTCAGTGCTTTTTTCTACGGTATTTTTCTGTGCGGCGACTGGATCTCTTCCAACACATGAGATATGTTGTGGGTTGCATAAATAGGCGCCTCATGGATGCCACTTGGTTGGACTGACGAAGAGTCTGAAAAGAGGGGGAGGAACTGCTGCCTGGCATAAGACCATGCCATCATCAGTCATTCAGCCAACAGCGTGGTTCCCTCTAGCTGCGCTTCAGGAGGAGCCAGCGAGAGAGAGAGAGAGATACAAGTCGTTTTTTGTTCCGTCGTGCTGCCAGAGAAAGGAATCACGGTACCCGTTTAGGAAACGCCTGACTCTTGGCCATTGATTCCGGCCACGTAGTTGGTGCAGTAAAACATCGACGATGATGACGTCAAGGGCGGCTCTTCAGGACTCTGTTCGGATCCTCTACGAATCCCCCTATCGCCTAGTCTAGTATGTTAGATTTCTTCGTTCGCCTGCACAACGGCAATCTCAGGGCAAAGCAGCCGGGGGAGACGAGCGAGTTTCGGCCGCGCAGGCCAAGCTGGACGCCCTCCGCGAGGAGCAGGAGAGAGCCACCGCCGAGGCCAAGTACGAAAAGGAGGCGGCAGAAGAGGTGAAGCACGAGAACAAACGTCGCGTTTGCCGAGGCCGCCGATACACGTTCGTCCATGCCACGGATACAACAACAATGAAGAACACAGCGACATGTGGTGCCCAAAAAGATGCCATGTTCTGAGTATTGTTTCGTGGGTTCGAGGAAAGTGCATCAGGAGATGAGATGGGCAAGCAATCTACGAATTGTTCGTTGTTCGTTGACAACAAGGTGCTCGATCATGGTCGACAACACCGAAACCCCTGATGTAGTAAGTATGGTCGTGAGCAAAAAAGCTAAATTCGTCTGACAACCTTCACCAACGAACACGATTACCAAGGTGCTGCAAGACGCGATCAAAACGTACAAGGAGAAGCTTACAGAAGCCGCTCGGCTCAAGAAGCAGAGCGACGAGCGGATCGCGGAGCTGGAGCCGGAGCTGGAGCGGCTGGCTGTCAGATGCAAGGAACTCGTTCAGCAGAAGGACATCACGAGCGAGGTGGGCTTCGAGAACAGGCAGCGACGTGTTTCGGTAGATCCGACAAACAAGGTTGTTCGGCATGTTAATGAAGGTTGAGAGTGTCGCGCTGTTCTTGGTGCTCTCGTTTGATCCATGCGCTAGCATAACCAATGCTCATATCTGTTATAATTGTACCACCCTCCCCCTTTGGGGTTTAGGAACGCGCTCGGATAGAGAATGCTCTACGCCAGCAACACCGCTTGGCCGACGAACAGAGAGTGCAGGACACGGCAAATCGGCTAGCAGCGCTAGAGCAGGAGCAACACAATCTGCTGTCGAGAGTGCTCGAAGCCGAAGCTGAGGCCGACAGACAGCGGTAAGAATGGACACACATCAGCCTTCCCTTGTCGAACAAGCTTCCTGTGAACCCATCAGGCATGTCAACAAGCTAACGAAATTTAGCGTTGCCTTCGTAGAACGCGAGGAAGACTTTCGAGGAAATCAATGAGCAACACAGCCAATACGAGGTAGAGACACTGCAGGTGTAGGCAATTTGCACTTCTCGTTCAAGGCACCCAAAGACAGTCTGCACTTACATCGGCCTGATGCTATTTTTTTGCCTTGGTTGTCCCCTCAGTCCGGCGGCCTACACAATAGGCCGTCCGCCGTCCCTCAATCCCATGTTTTCAGTAGTTTGGCGCTTTACCTTGCCTAGTCTAATAGCTTCGCTCCATTGTTGCTGCTGAGCCCTCCGCCCGTTTCGCACGAGTCTCTCACCCGGCGCAATGTTTCACTCGGGTCACCCTGGTCTTCATTCTACGCAACACGAATTCGCTCGATTTTCCAATCCCGACCCGACCGTTCTGACTAGAGCTGTGAATGACTTTGGATTCCTTGGGATGACTCTGATCTGCGGGGAACTGACTCGCTTCGTATGCGCAGCTCCGCAGGAGACACCATGACTTGTAACAACGCCGTGGTTAGCCATCGTATTCTTTGGATGGTGATTGGAATTGTCTTCACTGCTCTTATCGGCCTAGAGGTCGCGTGATCCAATCTGTCGCGATATGCCCATATCATCTGATGTTGCCTAACTGCCACCGATGCGATGCATGCCTACCGTAGGCGTGCTGTAGAAGACCTGGTGCTGGTGCTGGAGCAGGCCATGAGTACCCAGGCAGCACTGAAGGCGGCGGCGGCAACGCAAAGGGCCGAGGATGCTGTGAGGGTGAGGATATCATGGCGAACGGTATTGTGTGCGGGGGTGGGAAAATATGGGCTCAGTTCATTGCGGAAATGTAGTCTTCTCTGATTGTTATCGGGGGTTTGTCCCAAATATGCCTGCGCAGAGATGGCCCGGGTAGAAAGCGTCGGGCGCGCGACGCGTGATGAAGTTGAGGCGGGAAACGGCGCAAGAGCCGGGGGCTGTCTGCAAAGATCGGATATCCGCTCAAAGCCGGATAGAGTTTCACTTACATTTCCCTCCGGAACAGAGTTTGCTTTCCGCTTTCGTTGAAGAGGGGTTGGGAATGTAAACAATTCACCTATAAGCATATCGACGACAATATCATTACGCTCGCGGACGATCCTGCCCTGTTTATTCAGCGGATGTGATGTGTCCTTTGCGTCATAGGTTGGATCCTACAAGTGAACAACCATGGCCAAACCTTTGATGAAGGGTCTGTGCGTGTAGATTACGCCAGCTAGCGCACGCTCCCAGCGCGTGCGTTAGCTACAGCCATAAGGAGCACGTCGTAGCTCACACCACCCGCGCTGGCGGCGTGATGCCGGTGGTGATTGCAGGAGTCGTCGCCCGAACCTGGTGTTGACACCACCGAGGCCGAAAATGCCGCTCGGGAGAAGGCTGCCGGGCTTCAGGAGGAGCTCTCCAAGGCGAACATCAGGGTCGAGGACTTGCAGCGGGACCTCACGAGGGCGGAGCAGAGCGCGAAAGAAGCAGCGCATGAACAGATTAGGTAAATCGAACCCGAGCAGTTTTGTGTAGAGTAGGTCCAGCTACCTGCAATAACCAAGAGAGGACAAAGCACCAACAGCCGTGCACGACGACGAGTCAACACGCACCATGGCACACCCGGGACATCAATGACATAATAAGTGCACCCCGTTCATTCGTCGACGAGTTAACGCCGTCCGTGCCACCACACGCACATGTTGGAAACCGCCCTACCACACACGACTGTAACGTATCAAGGGCTCGAGAGGCAGTAGAGCGGGCGGCGTTGGCCGAGGAACAAGCGCGAGCCGCGGCTGAAGCCGCCAAAGCCGCCGCAGCGAGCGGCCCAAGCGAGCACCAGCAGGACATGTTCCAGGTGGAAGCGATCCTCAAAGCAGAGGTCCGCGATCTCGAGGAAAGGTACGCAGCATATCACGGAGGCGTGTCGTCACCACGGATATTAGTTTGAGGGGGAGACCAAGGGCGGCGTAGCACGTTGGACTTTCTGGGCGTTGAAATCCTCAACGTATTCTCTAGATTCTGGTGGAAATCGTTGTGTCTGACGTTGAGGAAATGAGGCTTGAGCTTTCCTTGCACGAGTCAAAGGAGTAAGCCAAAGGGCAGTGGCGTAAATGATGGTTCCATCGCCCTTGTCGAAAGCAGAATGGGTGGTGAAGCAGGGCCGGCGGGGCGGGTGATATTGGTGCATCTGAACAGCTGTCACTGAACAGACTTTGGTTGTGCAAACCCCTCGAGACGACGCTGGCCCGGGAGTACAATACCCTACGCGTACGCTAGGATGACCCCTGAACGAGCAGCAGCCACTCCTATTGAATTTCCAATTGAGAAGCCTGGATGGCTGATATTTCGCAGACCTCCTGCTGGAGAACGGTGGAGTCCTCAAGAAATATACATGCAGCGCCTGAAGCCAAACAGCTCGCCTAAGCGTACCTGCATGACGTTGAACGAGTGCAGGATGGTAAATTGACTAGCTTTAAGCTCTGGTCAGTCCTCTATACGTCACTGTTTGTTGCGATTTCTCGAGATTTCCCTTGGCCTGTTCTTTCTTGGTGAGTGGTTCTTCTTTTCTTCAAACTGTGGATGGTCGGGAACGCATTTCCCTGCATGTTCGTCTCCATGCTTCCAAGTTGTCCCCTGATCTCTATTGATGATGTGTTTCGCATGGTCGTCTCCATTCAATCAAGTTCGTATCCCTTGTATATTGATGGTGGGTGTTGCTCGCTCCACCCAGGGTGCGGACGGCCGAGAGCGAGGCAGACCTGCTCCACCACGATCTCATGGACGCCGAGCAAAACATTGAAGAGCTGGAGGAGGAAGTCGGGGCGCTGGCGGAAAGCAGGGCCAAAATGAGGGTGGAAGTCCACGAGGCCCACTGTCAGGTTCGGCGCGTCCTTGACCACCACTCACTTTAGTACGCCCTGTCGATCTGCTTTTCCAATCAATGTCGACCTCACGAGCAAGAGGTTCCGTACACTCATCGCCGCGCTCGATGTTTCGTTTTCGGTGTTTTTTGTGGTTACATCTCAATCGCCCCGCAGATTCAGCGTATGACCGTGGAGAGGGCCTCCCTTCGACGGCAAGGAGTGGACACGACCAACTTGCTCTCCAAGACGGAGGCCCTGCTGCGAGAAGTGACAGGGTACGTGCGTCCCGCTAGAAGCTCTTTTGCCACTGTCGTGGCTGATCGACCATCTGCCTACCTTTCGGCGGCCACGGTCTCCGCCACAGGTGTTATTAGCGCCTTTCGTGTATTTGCTGAAACCAGAATAGCTCGGAGGCTACCGTGACGCCGGAGGTCCAAGCACAAAACGCATCGCCAAGTCTGGCGATGCACCGGCGGTTTCATATCTATCCCTCCGATCACTTTGTACGTTTCACGTACGGTCCATGCACAACAATTTGTCCATTCACGTTTTGTGCGATATCTTTTTAAAGAAAAAAAATTGAAACGCGAAACAACGATATTCGTGACTGCCTCGTCGAGCTACGTCGATAGCTGCAGAGTTTTTTTCCTTTTTCGGAAAATGCGGCATTTTTGACCAAAATGATCCACGGAACCCCCTAAATCAGCATAGTACCCCCTGTTTTCCTCCGCGGAGCCCCCATATATTACCACGGTGCCCCCCATTTATCACTGCGGAGCCCCCTCTATCACCACGTTGGCCCCCATTTTTGCGCCAAGGCACCCCCATTTTATGCCACGGTGCCCGCTCTGTGAAATTTCCCCGCGTCCATACCCTTCTTATTCACAACTGATCGCGCACTTTACTGTAATAATATACACGCAATGCAGGACGAAAACACATGCACAGTCTATTCGCATGCACAACACTTCACTCTATCACTCTATATATAATTAATATATACAAAACTTTCGGAGGCAGTCAACCGCAAGGGAGTGCTGGAAAAAACAACAAGGCCCAACACAAAAGAAAGGGAACACGCAGCAGGCGCACAACAAACCCGGCAAAGCTGTTGAACAAACATTTGTACAGCGCTGGCATGCGCACGCAAAACACACATCACGACCATCAAATCTGCCCCGCGGTCATGGGAGAGCGCATCACCAGCACCGGGTGGAAGCTCATGTTGCTGCGCCGGCTTCGGCTTCTTAGGAGCCGCCCGGCCATCGACTCCGCGATAGCCGATCTTCTTCTTCTTAGGCCGCCCCCTAGGATTCCCCATGGTGCTTGCGTGGGTATTTTGTGTTCTTCGGGCTGCAACGTGTGCGAGAGTTGTTTGTGCGTGTCGTGTCGCCCACCAAAGCACACCCACCCATGGTGCGGCACAACATGTTGAATATCTCGAAAACTAGATTTTTCCCAGCAAAACCCCAAAAACCCCACCTGTAGATCGACGATAGGGATCGTTTGCCACTGTTTATTTTGAAATCGGTCGGGTGGTTGTCGCGCTGTAAACGAATCAAGTTGATCCTCTACATTCAGTTATTCTCTGATATCTCCTGTAATTTCGAGAATTACAAAAAAAAAAATCCCCAACCGCAGAATTCCGACATGTGTCCAAATCCGTTGAGTTTTTTGGCATCGGCAATAAACACCACCCTGTGTAAACGAATCAAGTATTAAAGGTGTTTCGGGGATAAAAAGTCAAGGAAAAAAAACAACAAAAAAAACTCTCCGTCACGCCATGCGCCTGGAAACAGGGCGTTTGCCGGTACTTTCAGATTTCGGAACAACCACCTGTGTGCAGAGAAAAGTTGTCATTTGTGCTGGGGGAATTTATTGATTCATTGTTGTGCACGGACTATATCTCTGTGTCGGCTACACCTTCACTCTTTCTCTCCAACCTATATAGCGAGTTTCCTCCGTACCCCTCTTCCGCCGTCTCTTTGCCCCCAACCACCCCCCACCCCCACCCCGCCCCTTTGATGCCCCAGCCACTCAATAATTTCGACCCGTACTTTCCAAAACCGTCCCATCTCGCAGGTGCATCGACCAAAAGGAGAATATGGCGACGTACACTAGGGTGGCAGAACTCCTCTCGGCCATTCGAAAGCGCAAAATCGACGAGAGGGCCGTCAAGATGAACCGCGCGCGCGACCGCATCGAGGCGGAGAACAGGGCCCGGATCGAGAAGGCCCTGAACGCCTTGAGGCTCAGGTCCCAGGACAGCGTCGCCGGGCGCCTCGAGCGCGCCCCCGCGCACCTTCGCGGCATCCTCGCCGTCTTTCTCGACCCCAGCTTCCAGAAGGCCTTCGTCGACTACACTAAGCGGTTTGCCCGCGGCGAGGTGGTCCTGCCCTCAGCCCTTCACAAACAAGCCACCTCTTCTGCAAACATGTTCATATCGTCATCGAAGGAGAGCGAAAAAACCGCCGGCGGCGGCGGTGGAAACCCCCCGCCGCGGCGGGCAATTAGCCTCGACTACCCGGAGACGTGCCCGGGGCACGGGCCCACGACGCCCGCCGCGGCCGCGGCCGCGGCCTCGGTGCCCGCACTCGCGAAGGGCTTGGAAAGGCGCAGGCAAGTGATGTTCGGGGACTTGCCGCCGACTAAGTCGGAGGCGAACATGATAGCCTCCGGAAAGCACCGATCGTCTATAGCGGCACCCGGCGGTCGGAACGCCGGTGGTAAAGGTGGTGGCGCCGTGGGACCTGATGGTGTCGGTGTTCGGCGAAACCAGCAAACAGGGAAGAGGAAGTCGAGGAATGGGCGGAAGCGGTCGGCAGATGGAGGCAGCAAAAACCCGGGAACGCAATGGCGCAGACACCGTGAAGGATCAGACTTCAGCATGACCCTCACCGCAGAGAGTGCTGTCGGTCGATCTGCGAGGACCCCTTCCAAGGGGGGTGGTCAGGGGGGCGCCGCGCTGGTAACTGAACAAGGTGGGGTTCCCGGTTCTAATGTTCGGCTACTCGTGTCAGGACCAAAGGAGGAAGAGTTGATGTGTCTGGCGTTGGGGCGGTGATTGTAGACCCGGGTCGAACCCTGTTGCTCAGCTGTTGCTGACATGAGAAGCTAGTGACGTAGAACCGAGTTGTGTGAAAATCGCAGGTTTGCATGAGGTCTGATTTACGTGCATAGTAGATGGTGTGCTGATCGTGCGTACAAATACATCGTCTAGCCAGGGTGGCAGGCTCACCAATTATACATTTTGTGAAAGGGAATCGTCGGTGGGCGTTAATGATAGAGAACGAATGCGACCAAACGTATCCCTGGGTCAAATGTCTATGTAGGTAGGTTTGGTGTGTTGCTTGTTCGTGTTTTGGGAATTTTTTTTTTTCAGTTTTGGGGACGTACTACTGAGGAAATATTGGTCTGCACATCACTTTGGACAACAAGACACACGACCCCTCTTGAAACCCATCCTCACCAGGCTCAGAAACTGCGGCGACCGCACAAGCGGCGGCGGTAGCAACGGCAGCCGCTCTGGAAGAGATCAACGTTCGGGTCGGGCAGTTGGATGCTCAAAGGAAGGATCTAGAGGGACGCGAGGTCGGTGGGGTTGTTTGCGGTGCTGGTCACGGAAAGTAGCGGTAGTGTGTGAGTGTGCATCGAGACGATACAGACTTGAGAGTGCGAGAAAACGTAGAACTGGATTTATCATGGTCGCAAGCGATTCCGCACTGTTGGCATGACGAGGCACTGCTGTCAGTTCAGTTCGACTTGGGACACTACGAGACTGGAACGAGGTCGTACGCTGCAACGTCGTCCCTGTGTTGTTACCGTTCCTGTTGCTGTTGAAGTTAGTGGTAGGGTGGTTGTCGCCGTCATCGTCGTGGTCGCCTCGAAAATTTAAACTCCGCCCTACACGATACCTCGATGAGCCCATACTGACGTCCGCTCGAGGCCAACCGCTAACTCGTTCCACGTTTCGTCCGCCATGAAACGGCAGCGTCAGCTCCAAGAAGACCTGCGATTTGAGGAAGACGCGCAGCGAGAGCTCGGAGCAATGTCCGACGGGGTGGAAGCCGAGGCTGCCAAGATTGATAAACCAGGTCCCGAGAAAGACAGGTGTGATTGCTGAGGGCTAGAATCAGGGTCGTAGGGCGCTACCCTGGGCAAACCTGAGACACTTGCAAATTTTTGGGATATGAAGAAACTGGTTTTGAGCGGAAACCTATTTCTTGGGAGAAACGTGAGACAGAGGGTGGAATTCCTGGGCAACAACCCTCGTTTCGACCTTGTTTTTTACTGTCGTCCATCGCACATCGTCTCAATGTTCGTCTAGTCCCTCCTCTATTCGTGGAGACTCTCGATGTGTGACCCTGCTTAAACGCATCACGTTCAGTTCTATTTGGACATTGAGACTACGAGGGGACGAATGCAGTTCTAGAAATTTGTGGATAGCGTAGTTGACATAGTGTGAGCATGTCGTGATACTTTGACTATTGTTAATTTCCATTTCCACACGAACTTTGCTGGACCGGTACGAATGCTACATGTTGTTAGGCTGCGACGTCACCAAATGGACCTCAGCGTAGAAGCTGGCTCTAGTTTCGTCACTTCTTGCTTTGTTCTTCCACAACCGCGACCAAATACGCGTTGGAGATGCTACACACGATATTCGGTCAGGCAAAAACCATTCATACAATATCGAACCAACGAAGTGAAACAACTGGAGTGAACAACTTGAACCGACTGAATCTCATGGTTGTATGTTATATCGAAAACAGCTCCTGTCCGCTCATGACCAACGAATGGATACATGGAACCCGCCTGGACTCTCTTTGTTTGTCTGATCTACGCATGACGTAGGCTAGAGGAGGAATTGCGGGCAGCGATCTCCAAGGTAGAGGCCGGCGCAGCCCGACTGGAAGAGCTGTCCCAGCTATCCTCAGCGGCGACCGCAGCCAGAAAAGAGGCTGAAGATGCCTATGCTTCAGCAGTAGCAGAGGAAGCAGAGGCGGCGAGCGACGCGAAGGCCACGATGTCGGTGGAGGGGGCGCTAGCATCTGGTTCTACCAGCGCCCGGAGTGCAGGAAGCAGCGATAGCACCACCCTCGCCGTGGCGACAGCGTCGCCGGAAAGAGCGGGCGAGGCGAGTGAAAACGCTCCAGAGGGACAAACCGTCAAAAAAGAAGAACTCGCCGCCGAACCGTCACCCGCTGGTGCTACTTCTGCTGCCGCCGCTGGTGGCTCTGTGCGAGAGAAGAGACAAGACAGAGTTCTGGACTCGAAAAGGCCAGCCGCAAGCAGGCCCGCATCGAACGCCAAACGTCGGCGAACAAGCAGCAGCGGCGGCGGCGGCAGCAGTCGCGCGTCTTCTCGCCGTAACCATGGTGATTCCACGACCCCACCCGGCGGTACAACAGCCGAAGGTGGCACGGAAATCGGGGAAGCGGCTGTCCCAACAACAGTAGCAACAGCAGCAGCAGCAGCAGCAGCAGCAGCCGCCGGAAGCGTGACGCTGCACCCCGTGTTCGCCCACATGGAACGAAAGGCGACGAGTGCGGAGGCCTCCATCGCTGCGGCAGCGTCAGTCGTGGAAATGACCCTAGAGGCCGAGGCCCTCGCCGAAAAATTGTCCGCCTGCGAAGGAAAACTAGAAGTCGCAGCGGCGGCGGAACCTCCGGCCACAAAGGTAAACCCTCTTGGTATTCACGTTCACTTCGATAGAATCCTACTCCCAGGGCCCTTCACCGTGCAAAAGATATGCTTACTCTTCGGCCCCTCCCCTAGACAGCCGGACCGATCGTGGCTCGGTGACCTAGAGCCAATGTTTCTGGCAAGCAGACCGGCAACGTGCACGTCCCACTTTGGCGTTTGAACCGCTCACACTGATTTACCTATCTCAAGCAGGAAAGCGACAACTATGACGTATCTTGAGTCGGCAATACTCTACTGTCCGCTTAAATTTAGGGAAGAACCAGAACCTCAAATCCTCAAAAACTATTGTTTCTAGGTCGGTAGAGATATTTCGTTCGCTGTATCATCGCTTCGTTGATTGTTGCTGCTGCGGTGTTACATTCATCTTATCCTTTCCGACCTCTACTCAAGACCGTCAAACATTCGTCGTGGTCGGACTGACGCGGTCACCGTCGGTGGTCAACAGATACAACCTATTAGTACCCAAAGAGGAACACGAAACGAAAAAATAGCCAAGGTATGAGAGAACAGAGCAACAACAAGAAGGCCCGGGAAAGTTATATTTCACAGGCCGCATGCCAGACAAATGGGAGAAACAGATAGAGCCCATCGCTCCCACCCACCACACGAGGCCGGCAAAAGAGAAACAAACAAGAAGAGTCAAGATGACCTATTGCGACAAAGAACACATCGAGAAATTCGGCAACAAATCTACAACAACTCGGATCCGGCCCTTTCGTTATGCTCTGTATCCCACGACGACTACGGCACCTACGAACGACCGCATCTTGCCACGGAATCAGACCCATCCGTGCAGCACCGCTTCGTCGTCTGGGATGCCCAATCCTGCCGAAATTGAGGCGACGAAGGAGCTGAAAGGGTTAATGGAGGCCAAGTCCGAGGCCGCAAAGAAGCTGGCGGGGACATCCCTTGAGTCCATTCTCACGGCAGTGAAGGTAGGCCAGCGTCGGCGGTGGATACATGCGTATCACCACCTTGCGAGAAAAAAAACGCAAAACGTGAACGCGAGGTCATGTGTCCGGGACATCATGTGCGGGGGAAGGGACGTTCTGAGACCTAACAGCGATATTGCTTTCTCCGACGGACCTCGTAGCTCGAATGTTGGAGCAACCTTACAATACCTATTCCCGAGAAAATATGAGTGTGCTGAGATTCGAACCATCTAGATTGCCCGCGATTCATTGTGCCACGGGTTTGCTTGGGGTTGGCACGCAGTTGCTGAGGAAAAAGCGAACCGAGCTCAACAAGGATGACCGAAAGGGCATCGAGGCGAATGAAGCTACGGAAAAGGCGCTGGAGGTGAGAAGAAGCCAGTCGAGGCTAGGATTTGGTGGTGATGATGGTCCAACGACGGCGATATTTCACGGTGTCGACCACCGCGCACTCACGAACAGTAAGAAACTGCTCTGTCTCTAAGGATGAATCTTCGATAATCGGCCAACAGATGAAGGCAAACAAACCAAGAACCTAGTCAACCATCAACCCCACCATCCCTCCGCCCCATACTACCGGTTGCTATGGCATGCGTCTTCACGATACAACGCGGCAAATAAACAACAATGTGTCAATCCCAACCGCTATCGCTCCACCAGCGTAACCTAGCCTCTGCCGACATGGTGGAGGTCAGCGTGGCCCTCGCCGAAGCCGCTCTCCACAAGCGAGAGGGCGTCGCACTCCTCAAACACCACCAGAGGCGAAAACGGCAACAAGGTGACCATCGCCGCCTCCGCAGCAAGGAAAACCTTGGCAACGTCTCCTCCCCACTGGGGAACACCCCCGCTGCCGTGGACACCGCAGACGAAGAGATGGTCGACCGCTGCTGGAACGACGAGAAGGCGGCCGAAACCGAGCGCCGGCTAGCCATCCTGTCGAAGAGCCTCGAAGCCAGCGACATTCACGACCTCCAGGTCCTCCGGAAGTCGCTCCAGCGAGAGTTGGACGACGTGGGGAGCGCGCTGCGGGAGTCCAAGCCCAGTCGCTCCCGAGTTGAGACTACTTCCGCTGGCGAGGGAGAAGGATACACGTATTCTTCAACAGCCGGGGAAGAACCGGCGGCGGCCGAAACTACCGACGAGGATGAGCGGTGGAAGGCGGAGGTCCTTGCCCATCGCCTGGACGCGGTTGAGAGGGCGGTGGAGAGGAAAGGGGGCTGGCGGTCTGCGGTTTTCCTCGGCAAGAACGGCGGCGAAGTCAACGTGGACGTCGATGTGGAGCCCTGGCCCGCGGCGGACGGGGTCCTGATGCTGCAGACCGTGAGGGACGCCCTACACGTTCAGCTCATGGAGGTAAGCGACGGTGGCCGATTTTGGTTCAAGAATGACATGAATCTTGCCACGTCGACGATTTTCCTCGTTCAAAATGACGCAAATTCGTCCTGCGTTGTCGTCCGTATTATCTACTACCCCCCCTCGAGGCAGTTACACAGTGCCTACAACTGTCTCTGGAAGTAAAAGCACCAGAAAATAAATTAAGTCATTCGCAGCTGTCATCCGTACGCAAGGAAGTAAGCACAAGATGCCGAACACCCTTAGCAGGATGTAGCGCACCCTTCATGCGACTCGCCGAATACCTCACGGCGTTTCGCGCTTGGTGATGTGAGAGAACCTGGTCCGGTGAGAACCCGGCGTGCCCCGTCCCGGCTTTGTAGGGATGCGAGGTCAATGGTCTAACGATTACGGCATGCACGACTAAGAGTAACCCCCCCCCCCTCTGCTCTGTAACCCCCCCGCTCGGTGTTTGCCATCGGGATTGGGTTTTCGTCGCTTGGCAACGACGTTGTAAAACAAGCCAATTCACTTCGTGAACTCGGTAACCAGGTTACCGTTTTTTTTTTTTTTACCTCTGTTTATTTTTTCGGCGGTAACCATGAATGGTGGTCGAGTAGATCATGTCGTACGGGGTGGAGAACCCTCACTCCGCGCAACGGGGGATGATCGCACCACGTTGTGTTAAAATGGTCAAGCACCCTCGAGGCAGTTACACAGTGCCTACAACTGTCTCTGGAAGTGAAAGCACCAGAAAATAAATTAAGTCATTCGCAGCTGTCACCCGTACGCAAGTAAGTAAGCACAAGATGCCGAACACCCTTAGCAGGATGCAGCTCACCCTTCATGCGACTCGCCAAATACCTCACGGTGCTTCGCGCTTGGTGATATGAGAGCCTGGTCCGGTGAGAACCCGGCGTGCTCCGTCCCGGCTTTGTACGGATGCGAGGTCAATGGTCTAATGACTACGGCATGCACGACTATGAGTACACCCCCCCCCCTCTGCTCTACTTCACTCTCCCGTGCGTGACGAAACCATTGGCACACGTACAAATAGTCCCGGTCAAAGGTGGAGGAACTGGAAGACATGGCGGCTTTGGTACCGAGCAGCGAGGGGCTTGGAGGTCATCTCGAGGCTGCCGCCGACCTCCACCGAGCGGTGACGCTTCTCTGGGAAGGGGTCGGCGACGTCCTGAAGTCCCGCGCAGAGAACAGAACGGCCGAGCCACCGGCGGAGCCCCTGTCCTCCCAGGAGCTCACACCGATGTCGCAAGTACAGGATAAACCACGCCCCACTGCCTCTGACGTCTCCGATACCTCTGTCATCGACAACGCCATCGCTTCTACTGCCAACGGCGCCGGGGAAAACGACCCGATCTTGATGATGCTCCAGGATGAGGAGTTCCTAGAGGTACCCATGCACCTGGAAGACTTGCCCCTCCCGATCGTTACCAACGCCCTTTCCGTAGACATCGACAGGGTCACAGCGACAACCAAGTATGTCGTCGCTGGCGTGCTCCGTCAGCTTTCCGCAGCGGCAGCAGCAGCAGCGGCGACGGCGGCGGCGGCGGCCTCAAGCAAGTATAGTGCCGCCGAAGCCCACCAACGTCGAGGCACGCTGCCCCAGGATCCGCCCAACCCGGTGGTACCACCATCTGCCGTCAAGGCTAGCCTTCCTGCTGCAAACGTTCCGCTTGGGACCCCGACTCCTCAAGAATTACCGCCCGACGACGATATACGGTCGTCCAACAGTGGCCAGGAAGAATTATCAGAGCCTGCTTCGGAGAAGGTGTCAGTGGCGGGTAGCGAAGCAGAGATAGAAGAAACTCCATCGACGGAAGATGCGGGCGTGAATAACGATTCCGGGCTCCAAGCCGAAGGTGAGTTGTGTATTGATGGTGGTAGAAACCGGTAATGGCGCTAGTGGGCAGTGGCTATTGTGGTTATTTGTGAGGTATGGCGCGCAATGGGGATTTGAGCGCCACCTCCGGAAACCACCGAAGCCCAGACTACTGAGTCGAACAGAGGACGCTGTGCTTTCGTCGCGCACGAAAGCGGTAGGGGTAGGCAGGTCAGCGTTGGCGAGCCCACAGCTATTTTGTCGACGTCGGTTCGGCGAGTGTACGAAGAGTGGGCTGAACAGTTCAAGCTCCCCAAACTACGGTTTCGCAGATACCCTTTGTCGTGGTACCTTCGTAAACACCGGTCGGTGTGGAATTCGGATTTTTGGAACAATGCCGCAAAGACCTACAGGATAGCGGCATTCACTCATGACTGAGAAGGAGACCCCAATCGGGAACCCCCTTCCGCATCGACGTGCTTCCCGAACGGTACCAATGTAGATGACGCTTCTACGTCGACGACAAGAACGGCAACTTCCGAAGGACTAGAGGACACGACGACGTCGCCAGCGTTGCCTCCAGAACCGATTCCAGAAGATGATGCCTCCGACCACGAAGAGCGCGTCACGCAAGCGGAGGTGGATGAAGCTTGGGAGCGGGCGAGGGAGATGGAGGTAATCATCTTCAGTGCTCTACCAAGATGGAACGTATTCGAGAATTTTTCTTGCAATACATTCATCGGTTGTTGTCGCGTACAATTTGTTTGGGTGCTTCTCAGCTTTGCGTAGAACAGCGCGCTGTGAGATGGCGTCAAGAATACAGGAAGTAGAAAGACAAGTTTCGTGGGACAAGCAACTCTACCGCGTGAGGAGTCGCATGATGCGCCAGCGTCAGGTGTGATTATCAGTTTGCGTGTGACAGCAGCAAATACCGCCAGGTGTCGTTCATGTCGGACTGTGACCGTCTTGTTCAAGAACAGGAAGTGGCCTGTCATACCGGATTTGAGTGCACTTTCACGGGCATCATACTTGTGGAACCCAGCCTACATGCCTCTGACGGGGCACGCTAGGCCTCTAAGGTTCTCGTAGTTGCCCACCCCACACTTCACTGCCGAGCGTATTCATTTCCGCGTACCATGTGATGTTGTGGAATCAAAAGGAAACGGCGCGGGGACTACGTGATGTGGTCGAAGAGCGAGAGGGGGTGATCGACCTGTTGCAGAGAGAGATCACGGACCTGAAAACAGCTCTGGCGACAGCGGATTCCGGATCGAGGCCTTCGAACACCGTGGAAACCCCTTTTACTGACCCCCATCTGGAACAAGAACTTCAGAAGGTGTATCCTTTAGCTCAATTTTATCATCCCATTTGCCGCCTCCAGAAGCCATAGACATTCGTTTCCACCCAAATCAAAGTAGTTCGTTTTCTTGTTAATTTGTGCCGCGTCTTTCGTAGGTGGTGGCAATAGTTTTCAGTTCATTTTGATGTCCCCTTTGGCCTGATACATCACGAGAAAATCTCACCCAACAATCCCAGTCGTAGGCCCGCGTTATGTCATTTCATTCAAGTCGATTCTGCAATCTTGTACGTACGGCCTAGAATATGATGGTTTGAAGGATGCTGAATGAACTTCCTAAGTTGGTGCCGCCAACAGATGTACTCGGCACGTTGTACAATATCAATGGAAGAAGGAGAGTAAAATCGGAAACTTAGGGGCAGTATGCTAACATTGACACCACCTCATATTTCGTTGGTGGCAGGCGATGGTTGCACTTGGTGAAGAGAGGGCGTTTTTGGCGGACACGACACAAAAGCTGGACACGTCTCTAGAAGAGAGGGATCGCTTGCTGGACGAGGTGGCAGAGGCAAACATGAAGGTGAAAATAACTTGAGAAAAGGAAGGTCATCCTCCTATCAAAGACGTGGGCAGGCATTCATGGTTGAAGCGATATCGGCGTTGGACATGGTCATGTTCATTTAACACCACCGTAGTAATTTCACATCAAGCACCATCGCACAGAGTAGAGCGAAGAACAGACTTTGGTGCAATCATGTCTATCGAAGTTTAACTCGACTGGGATGAAATCTTGCACCCTGCAACTTGGACGGTCTGGCAACAGATTGGTGTGAACGAAGTAGGTTGGTTCACTGTGTGGAATTTCCAACGGAAGGATCTACTGTATGACGGCAGACGTACGACGGCAGACGTAGGAGATACGTCACTTTCCCAGTTTTATTTGACGGCGTCTATCCGAGAAGTGGCCAAGTAATCGTTGGCCTCTCTGTACGTTTCATACTTGGTACTACTCAACACTTAGCGAGCGTGATCACGATAAATGTACTCTGCGCCAAGGTGTGTATCAACATCATCGTTCGGCGAAAAGTCGATAGATTGTCACAGGCTTGGTCCACCAAAAATCTCGAACGGGAAGCAACGTTGTAGATCCTGATGCTTTTCATCGCATGTATGGGTTTGGGTTGCCATCTCTGAGGCTTGACGAAGGCGTCTTTGGAGGGATGACATGTTTTACGGGGTAAACCATTCCCGTTGGACGTAAACGGAGTGAAGCATTCTGGCGGTATCTCCATCCAACAAAATAAGGTGGAATAAAAGGGGTCAGCAGATGAAGAGGTTGAAGAGGTTGAAGAGGATGCGGCTGACGAATATCTGGGAACGGCATTTTGAATTGTTGCATGTTTCTGCCCGCAGAGCATGTGCGTAACCTGTACTATGTTGCATGTCATGCCCCATGCTCATCCCGCCTTCTCAAGACCACAATGGTCAGGTACCTCAACATCCTCGACCTTTTCTGGCCCTACAACACCCATCTTCTTTCATTGAACAGGAAAGGCAACTTCAAACAATGCTGGATGAGGTTTGCGAGAGGGAGAACCAGCTGGTGGCCCAAATGACGGAGCTTCAGCAGCTTAAGGCGAGTCAAGTCGCCGGACTATAAAATTCCTTGAATGATTGGCCTGATGGGCCATTAACCTGGCGCTGGCGCGAATTTTCGGTCGGTGGTCCCTGTCGTTGTCGCGTGCTGCGATCGCCGCTACAATCAAGAACGTTGCTGTTTTTCGTTTGCGCTCAAACCGATTCTGAACATCCGCCAGACACCTGTTCTCTGCAAAGCGGCAGTATATACGGCTCGATCTACTGCATTCCATAGAGACTCGAAGCCATAGTGTGGTACGGGCTGTAAACACGGATTGGGAACCTGTTCGGCGCATCGTTGCAATAAATCAACTGCTCAGAATGTAGAGCCAACAAGCGTATGGCCCGTTCATTTTCCTAGATGTGCCACACCATGGAATCAAGCCGAGCTGGCCCATCGTTGGGCTGATCAGCACACTCCCACGATACTGTACTGCCGCTTATTCAACCATCTACTCCCATCATGACAATCCTATCCCTCTCGAGGCAGGCAGCGGAAGGGGCTGCGTTGGAGCAGCTAGACGCGCAGATAGAGGAGGACTCTGGACTGGACGAACCCGCACTTGAGCATCTGCGCGTGAAACGTCGACAGAAAGTGAAGAAGATCGCCGACGCCAATGCGCGACTTGTGGTGCGTCACTCACACCAGATTCACTCGTTTCAGCTGTTTCTGGTGCTTTTCGCGCCCGTCGTCGATCTGTGCACGGCGTTGATCCGGTTGTGTCAGTGTACCGAAAGTATTCACTGCGCTTACATCACGTCTCAGGTGTATATTTACCTCAACGGTCTCCTACCTCAGAAAGTAAATCCCTCCTGATGTTTTGTAAAGTAGAGAGAGCGTCTGTCTGCTGATATTGCTTGCCAACCACAGTTACCCAGGGCGATTCATCTTGGACTGGCACCTACAACGGGTGTCGTATCACATCTCTCCAGCAGTCGTGGCAGCCGGCACGAGCGGAAACCATGATCTTGACTTTCGACTACACATCACATGGTGGCCGTCACCCTTCCCGCCTCCAATGCCCGACGGTTTGCCTCTTAACCAGGTGGCTTTGTCACAGCATGAGAACATGTGGGAGCGGGCCATGAAGAGCTACAAGTGGGTGCACCATTTGCCTCAGGTGAGTGAGACCCGTACTACGGTGACCCACGTTATGTGGGTCAACCCGTTTCCGCCGAGGTGTACCGCGTGGGGCGTGGGTATTGATCCTGCTGTGGCGTTTCAAAGTCGTCGTTCTGTACGGCCGGGTACAGTATCTGATACAACATCGCGACCTTGCGTTTTGAAAGGTACGCGACCTGGGTTTACGGGAGGGGGGCTTGGCAAGCACAAAATGGAAGTATGGCTAGGGTGGCAGTGTGCCCCCCGCAAGTGAGCAGAGATGAGGCTGGTTCGCTTGACGGCGAGAAGAAAGCTGACCATTCAATACGTGACGGGGCTTCATGTGTCGCCCTCTGAGACTTATTCCCACTTTCCTGAATTCCAAGTCGCCGCCTGCACTCACTTGCCCCCAGGAGAGGGCCGACACAGTGCTACACGTTTGTGTTATACACCACAAGCTTTGCGTGTTCGCTCTTCGCCATGCGTTATCTACAACCTCCGCACACCCAACACCACTTTAACAGTCACCGCGTTCACCTTGAGAATATCTGAACGGCAGTCTTGCCAGAACTGATGACTTCGCGTCAACGGCCCGTTATCGGCTGTTTCTGTGTGGAACAATTGCAGATATCCGTCAAGAACAGGCAATACGCAAGCGTCCAAGAGTGGATAGAAGCGGAGATCGCGGACCAGCGGAGGGAGCGCAAGAAACTCGAGCGAGCGGCGCGACTCCGTCTCAAGCGACTCCAGCCACGTAGCTTGATGCACAGGTGCGGAATTTCGCGCATGCGGCATACATGCACCAAATAGGTCATCGATCGACAAGCTTTGCTCAATCGCTATGTTGCAGAAGAATGTGCCTAATGGCCGAGATGTCAGAGTGGCAAATGGTAGGGTATTTTCTTATCGACACGCATCCGCCCTCAGAACATGCTACAAGAAGGATCCTTGTAAAGTGCCCTACTGTACCTCCACCAAAGCCTCGAACCTCCACAGTACGAAGAGTGTCTTGACAAAGATCGGGGCACCAAAATGTTCCAGGCCTTGTTCCCCGAAAGCGGAGAACGTCATGTACATAAAAAGCTTTTCAATCGTCAATCCGACCTCCAAGAAACTGCCGAGACCGTTTCGGAATACCAACGGCTTTCACACACCGCCCCCCCCTATATTTCATCGTGCCGCCCGCCCCTGTTGCACACTCGAACAGCCATCAAGACCAATCGTCTTTGACAACCGGAGGGCTTGCTCCAGTTCTCGTTACCTCCCTCTCTGGAAACGTAGGCCACTCCTCTCGACCGAAGGTGACCGCGCCCGGATTGAGTGGCGGAAGTTACGGCTACGGTGACGAACGAGTGAGCTTTGGCGCGCCCGCAAACCTCGGCCATAAGCGGAACTTGAAGGGATCACAAAGGACGGAAGCGATCGCCGGGGTTAATGGTGCAGAACTGCTGTCGAACTTTCTCCGCGGTGGGGAAATGCCTTCAACTGCGCTCCACTTCCGGGTATGACAATTGTTCGTTGCTTGTTCTCGGTACCTTGTTTCTCGTTTCTCTGACAACGTGTTCAGCCTGTAACTATAAAAACATGAGTGCATAGCTACGTGTAGGGCCTTGTCGGAAACCTTGTTCTCGTTGCCAGCTCGGTTGTTTGCAGATAGACAAGCCATTGACCACCGAATGCACGTTCACACACAGGCGGCGCGTGAAACCGAGAAGAACCATCCTCGGAACCCTTTGCATGAGCACCAACACCGTCCGACGCCGGGATACGCTGGGTCAGCTTCCCCCTCATCTCCGGCATTCAGTAGAACTTCCCCCGGCACCGAGAGGGGTCCGTTTCGCCAAGCGACTCCAACCCTAGATGGACCCGCCGGTGGCCATGGCGGAATGGGTGGCTACAAGGCCGGGTTCGACGTCACGAATTCCGTCAACAACAGCGGGCATACATCGCGGATGGCAAAGGAAGCCGAGAACCAGCGGTATAAGAGCTTGTTCACGAACGCGCCTGCCGAGCTCCCCGAGGTTACCGTCATGCCCGCGGGAGGCGGCGACAACAACAACCTCCAGGTGGGAGGCACGAACGCCCGGGATCTCAGCATCAGCACTTCGAGGGCTGACTCAAGAGAAGACATGAAAGTGAAGGCCGGAGGGGGGAGCGACGGCATGGCCGGACCAAACCAGCCCACCAACTACCGCCGCGCGCAGACGGCCAAGGTAGACTACCACAACAGCGTGCGGCGGAAGTCGAGCAACACCTCGTTTACGCACCAGGTGGGACACCCGGGTGGCCTGGACGCGCTGGCGCCGTCACAATCTCGCGTGGAATCTCTTAAAGGATGGGGAGAGGGACAGCCGGTTGTTGTAGCAGCGGCAGGGAGGGGTGATCCGAGCGGAACCAGGGAGCTGGCACGGCCGGTGTCGGTCGTGGGGGGGTCGGCGGCGACCACAGGCCCTCATGAAGAACCTTTCCGATGGATTCCCGGTGAGGCGTACAAAAACAAACCGCCCGTTGTTCATTCTCACAGCAGGAAAGGCTCCCCCGCCAACCCCTCGGCTCGTGTGCCAACCTCTAACTCCTCCGCGGGCGAGACGAAGGCATCGGCCACCCGACTGCTGCAACCAAGACGGACCGCAAACTCCGGCCGGTCTCGCGGCAGTGCCGGTGGCAACGGAAGCCCGACTGAACACGTTCTCGATGATAACCGGGGTACTGCTTCTGGCAAGCTGCCCAGACAACTAGCCGTGCCCGGAAGCTGGGTCCTCACCGAGGCTGCGGGCGCAGGGGGGGCAGTCGGGAGCAATCATGGCGCTGGCCTCCATGGGCTACAGGGGAGGAGGGGAGGGGGCAGTAGGCAACCGGGGGGTGCTAGCGGCGGAAGAGCTGGTGCGGTAACGGAGACGAATAACCTCCACCCCGCGTGGAGACCAAAGGGGCTTACGCGTCGGCAACGAGCCGTCTCGGTGGTCGAAAGAGGGTAGTAGTCCGAACTGTTGGTTATGCTACATAGTTCGATATGTACGTGTTCTGTTCACGCGGCGAACTCTACGCCCACCCGAACTGCCCGTGGGGCCGATACCGCAATCACGAGTACAAAAAGTGAGCCCCTCATATCGCCATCGTCTGCGAAGGAACGCGAACGAGTCGTGGAGAAGGCAAGTGCGAACACGATAAAGCTGCCGGAGATTTGCAATCAATGGATGCACCCTATTAGATACAGCTGCAGGCAGTTCGCGTGCTCTCGGCGATTTGGCCGTTGTCATCGCTTATCCTTGGTTACCATCGACTGCGTCTTTATTACTCCTCCATGCACACCCGGCGCCCAGTCCCCAGCCGTATATCGAACAATTCCATCATCTCTAAAGTGCTCTCCCCCAACGAGCACTTCCTTTCACCGAACTCATCAACTAGACTTCGAACCGGGTAAAGCTATGCATAAACAAGGCCAACACCAGGGCTCGAACCCATCACCTATCCATCCATACTAATATCTCCACGTCACAGGGGGTCTACTGCAGCTCTAGAATACCTTGGATCATCCAAACACAGAAGTTGCCCTCGAAACAAACACGCGTGCTGCCGACCCACTCCACAGAGCAATCTGTCGCTTGAAGGCGACAAAGGCGACAGTCATACTTCGACCGCATCCACCGTCCTGTTTCATTGCCTTCTCGCACAAGAGACTGGGGCTGCACCATTCTTCCACATCAATCGGCCGTGGAGCCACCAAGGCTCGCAGCCCGTACGCACCTCCCAACACAAGCACACGGCGTCAAACCAGCGTCGAATGTCCATATTCTAACACTTGCAAAAAGGTCAAAGTCTGGGCATTTCCGAGCAGCCCCTGTGCGTCGTGAGAACAAACTGGTAAACTAATAAGGTGACGGTGCTAGCCACCTTGCATCATACGGCTGTGGCGTTGTCAAAGGTGTAAGCTGGTTACTCTGACAACTTTCCCCACGCGCCCAAGATGGCTGTCAGTCGTCCTACACAAGGCCACTTCTACACATGTACTCGGTCTTCCTTCGCGCGGCTACGCTACTGCACAAACCGCCAGCGAGAAGGGTATAACATTCGATCGCAAGGCTTGTCGACCGTACCGCCCTCACCCTCTCTCGGGTGCTTCTCTTCCATGCCAGCAGATAAAGCCAGCCAACACTTGGCGGCAAAAGAAGAATTTTGTACCTATATGTATATCTCGTTGTCCACCTGGCGGTCCAGCTCCACCATCTCCGTCGCGAGCTGGGATGCCAGCGACTTGGCGTTTTGCGCGAACTGCTCGAGCTCGACGTTGTGTTGCGCACGCTCCGCCGCGAGGGATTTCTCGTTCGCGACGCTTCGCTGCAGCTCGGCGATCTGCTCGGCTCGTTGGGCAGCGATAATCTCCGCGTTCTTGGCGCGTTCCAAGAGCTGGGCATCGATTTTCGCTCGCGAAACGCGCTCCGTCGCGCGTAGCACGGCTCGCTCGGCCGCCAGCGACTCGGCGCTCTCTGCTCGCTGCTGGAGCTCGCGGATCTGCTGGGCTAGCATCGTTCTCTCCTCCGCGAGGAGGTCCGCTGTGGCCTGAAGCGCAGCGGCGTCGACAACCTATTCAACCCAGCAGGAGCAACAAATATCAAGATGGACGGCCAGGACAGTCATGAACGAGAACACCACGCACCACAACTCATGATCTTGCTCGCGCGACATTTGTGGCTCATCTCAGAAAAACACAAACCTACACCTATGTGTCTCGTGTGTGAACGGATCCACGTGAAAGATAGCCATCATCCCCCACTTCACTCGTGTGTGTGGGTCACGCCAAACATCGTGGCGCTATCGTTCTCACCGCGCCGTCTCTGTTGGACTCTTCCGGTGCTGAGGCTGCGGCTGGTTCTTCTGCCGGTTCTGTTGGCGGTTCGGGTTCTACTGGCGGTTCGGGTTCTTCCGCTGGTGGTTCGGGTTCCTCTGCTGGTTCTGCTGCTGGTTCTGCTGCTGGTTCTGTCGGTTCTACTACTGGTTCTTCCGCTGGCGCGGATGCGCCGGCAGCAGCGGCGGCGGCAGCAGCAACAGCAGCTGCTGTGGGCAGAGCGAAGGAGTAGTGCTCCACTATCGACCACCGGCTCGGTCGACCGGGGTGGTGGTGATCGTCGTCGTCCTTCCGAAACGTGAAGCCGAAGCGCATCCTCATCTCAACCGTCGTCTCCCCCTCCGCCCCCTGCCAAGCGAAGGTGTGGGTACCCGCCTGGGTGGCGAATTCGCCGCGAACGCGAACCGACGAGTGCGCGTACTCCACCACCCTCAGCTCCGGCAGCCGAGCAAAGTGGTCCTACGAGAGGGACACCAGCGCGGGAGCGGAGCGGTTAAGAAATGCGACGCCAAGCATGTTCCGCTAGTGGCTTGGGAAATGTCAGCAGGGAAAAGCGGTCTTCTCATGGGAGCTGAGTTGTTGACGCAGCAGCGACGCCGAGGGGTTATCCGCCGACCCGACAGTCGTCTATTGCCCACCGAACATCCAAGAGTTATCTCTCGATCACGTCATCAACTACGCGACGTTGGTGCGAGTCCCACATACACACAGGACCGCACCACACATTTATTATTTCAATAGATGATTCCAATATGGTGCTTGCAGTCAGGAACGGTCCGTCCAACACATCTCACGTAATACGCGTAGATCTGCTCGGGCGTGTTGCGGACCACTTCCGAGGCCGATCCCCACAGAGGATCGTCGGGGGCGAAGATCTCCGTCCCGCAGAAAACGCCGTCCGGAGCGTAAAGTTCCGCCGCTTGCCTGGGAGCGTCGTAGGTGCCGGACGTGACCGTTTCCATCCACGAGAAAATCGTTTGCTCCACCGCTTGTTCGTCTGCTCAGGGCACGCGGTAACCAGAGGAGCGGCGAAGAACAGACATGAACGCTAGCGACACTGGGAGCACTTCCGTCGAGAAAACACCACCACAGAGTATCAGCGGCCACCGTTGAGTGCGAGTCCAAAAACCACGAGTGAAAAGTCGCGCACGGACTCCTATCGAGGAAACGTCAATACGAACGTCCGAATGTAATCACAACCGCTACATAGTAGGTAGATCACATCAAGGGAGGGGAAGTTGGAGACGAAAGTCAATCAACTGCTTATGTGCGCCCAGCACGCTCTCCAACCATCACCAAAACATGGGCGCCCGTCAGCATGACATCGATGCCGGAGAGGCACAAACACTCGAGACTGGGTCCGTCCGCACCTGACACCGGCACTGCCGCAGGGCTGACTGGAGGATGCGGGATCTGCTGTGATTGCTCTTCTTCGCCGTTGTGCAGCTCTAGGGGGGTCGCGGCCGGAGAAGGTTCTTCGTCGGTCTGATTTCCCAGCTCTTCCGCCGCCTCCATAGGCCCCAACGGCTCCGACGGCTGGCCTTCGTCTGTAGATAAATCCCCATCGTTCGACTTGCCATCCTCTCCTGGTTAGGGGAAAGCAGGAGACCGCCAGGGCGGCGGGGGGGGGGGGGGGGGAGGGGGGAGATGGGATCGTGTTTCTCGTCACTTGTGTAGGACCACGAGGGGTGATGTTCATCGCCCGTGTCCCACCAAGCAGCAGCGGCATCCACCGATGACGAGCAACAGCGCAGTGCCATCGGACACAGGTCATGACCACTTGTCGGTTGATAACCCATACCAGTCGGGTCCCCGTCGAACTTGGCACGCCTCCCGAAAAATTAAGTCTGCCGGACTACGTCTCAAATACTGTTTACTTTAAGGCCGCCCGTAGGTAGAACGATCAGGCTTCCGTTGCTATCCCATTCCGCCCTTGACATGTTTTCCTCCAACAAACATGCACAGGGGCAGCTCTTGGCTGCGCGCTCTTCGCTCTGAGACACTGGTGCCAAAATGAAAGTCATATTTGCGGTGGATATGAGAGGCACAAACTTTGAGGTTCTCTCACGCGGCCCCCCTCTCGCCTATTGCACATGGTTCGTACAGGCTTCCTGCAAATGGGACGCGAATTCCAACTAGTGGTTGTGAACGA